CGTCCGCACCTGTGGCAGGACAGCCCGCCTCACCGCCTCCCGCCCCTGCATCTATAGCCAACGTGAATTCTCTCCAAACAACCTCTCCCTCCCTCCCCCAGCTGTTTGCCTAGAGAGCCCTTTGCCCAGGAGCTCTGCTATGGCTCTGGGGCCTGCATTCCCCCAGGACCTGGGCCTTTTCTGGCCAGTGTTTGGCTCAATAAACCCCTTCTTTCAGAAAAGCTTTTGGCCGTGAGTTTCTTGTTTAATATTCTCAGGAAGCTTATAGGTGGGTTAGAGAGTCAGGCAAGAAGATGGATGGATAAATAATGTAATCAGTGCTATGTTAACTGGAAATGATCGAAGTGTGATGCCTACCCACCAGCATCCCTCTCTTCTTCCTTAGTTCGTGGAATCCTGATTTTATTCAAGGAGGCAAGATGCTCGGGACTTGCACAGGCTCGGGATGAACAGGAGAGATCGTAGCCAGTGCCGCTCAGATGTTCGTATGCATTAGGGTCACCTAGAGCTGTGGTTCCCAACCTTCCTAACGCTGCGACCCTTTAATACAGTTCCTCATGTGGTGGTGACCCCCAATTTCATTGTTACAAATTGAACATAATGAAAGCATAGTGATTCATCACAAAAACAATATGTAATTATATATGTTTTCCGATGGTCTTAGGCGACCCCTGTGAAAAGGTCGTTCGACCCCCAAAGGGGTCGTGACCCACAGGTTGAGAACTGCTGACCTAGAGGGCTTTCAACACCCAGAACCCCAGGCCTCACCCTCAGAGTTGCAGACTCAAGAGGTCCAGGTGAGGCCCAAGAATTTGCACTCCTAACCAGTTCCCAGGCCATGCTGCTGCTGCTGGCCGGAGGGTCACTCAGCTAAATCAAGCGTGGCCACATGGTCCACCTGCTCTGGCATGTGGTTTAGGGTTGGGCACATGACCAAGGTCTGGCCAATGAAGTGAACAGGAAAGCCTATGGAGGAATTTCAGGAGGAAGTTTTGCCTCCTGGGGAAACGAGAGCAGAGCTACGTGAGAAGACACTCTCTGGAGCTGCCACTGTCATGTTGTGTCTACGTGGACATGGTTGTGTCCTGCAAACACCCTGACCCAGAGCCTGGACAGTGCTGAGGAGCGAAGTGAACCCTGAAATCGTCCACCTTCAAGCTCTCAGTGGTGTGAGTAATGCAATGCTGTCATTCCCCTTTGCAGGGAGAGTTGAACGTGTGGCCACTGGTTCCGAGGGCCCCCAGTCTGAGAGTGGGTGGGATGGAGTGTCAGGAAAGGCTCCCAGCTCTTCAGGGAGGATGGCGCCCATTTGTGCGTTGGCAAATGACAAATGATGACACTGTATAGACTTGCTCTGTGGAGTACCTTTTGAACTGGCTGAACTGGAAATGTGTATAAAAACTGTGTGGGAGCACAGAATAAGGAAACTATTAAATCCACCTGTGGTGGAGACAAGGCATAATTTGTGTGGAGGTGACATTTGGGCCAGGCCACTTAGAGCTGGTGTGGGGTGGAGGGAAGGTATAGTGCTACAACCTGTTATGTGGTATGGACCCATATGTCTGTGGGACTTAACTGATCTTACGCACACATCATCCAGAGGAAATGGCACGGACAACGGTCCAGAGGCATGACCGTGCTTGGCATCTCTGAGTAAGAGCACACACTTTGGTGGGGGTTAGACCACGCATGTCAGACTCGCGGCCCATGGGCCGCATTTGGCCCACAACAAATATTTTTGCAGCCCAGCCAATATAACGGTATGTAAGAAACATTTTAATAAAAATTTTGTAACTTAATTTTTACAATATCCTGTTATATATAATCCTATATAATAAAAGACAAATAGACTGAATGGCAGAACAACTGAACAACCGGTCGCTATAACGAGCGCTGACCACCAGGGGGCACGTGCAGAACATGGTGGGTGTCAGCAGCAGGTGGCAGAGTGCGGAACATGGCGGGCGTTGGCCAGGGCGGGATGGTGGAGCAGGTGAGTGGGGTGCCAGACCAAGGTGGGGCACCAGTTGTCATCGGGGCAAGCCTCTGGTGATGACTGAAAATTCTTTGCTCCCGCGCACTGTGGGCCCACCTGGCACTCAAACTCGCTGCCAGTGCCTGCACCGCCCCATCATCAGCAGGTGAGAGTGGGGCCCACGCTGTCATCGCGTTGCGGCGGGAGTGGGGCTGAAGGCAGACAGGGGACCTGGGCTGCGGCAGAAGGGGCTGAGACCCACCCCTGTGCCCAATGCAGCCTTTCGGCCCACAGTTCCTTTCATGGTGCACAAATTTGTGCACTGGGCCCCTAGTTACTAAAAACAAACTACAACGTTCACTAATGACCGATGACTATAATCATGTTGCATTCATTTCCCTTACATGCCTTATGCGCAGGCGCATCATGTCTCTCCACTAATACTAGCAGCGAATATTTTAGCAGCCGATTGCCACGTCATTATTCTTGGACTGACTTGTTTTGAGTGTATAACAGGAAATACTTCGCTTTCGGCAAACAAGAAAAATAGGTTTATTTGCATTACGCTTATTAATTTGTGCAGTTATTCAGTGTCTGGTAAGTTAATGTTCAAGAAAAAATATTAATTTTTATTAAAATGTTCTGTTATTTTATGTTAATGATGACTCATTTATTTCAGTCCTTTGTATTCAGCATGTCTCTATCAAAATAAACCTATGTTTCTATGAAAAGTGAAGCTTTTGTTATTTTGCGGCCCACATACACTTACACCTTATTTATTTGGCCCGTGTTAGCCTGTGAGTTTGACATGCTTGGGTTAGACTGTGCCATGATATGGAAAAAAAAAGTTGGGGAGCATTAAATTAGAAAGCAAAATCAAGGAGATCCATTAGGTCAACAACAATAACTAAAAATGGAATATCCCAACATCAAAGGCTTCTGAACCCCAACTCCCTCAGCTTTTCTGCCTCAGGAGGGGTACCTCCTTTGCCTGAAGGAGGGAGTAGCCCCTCCCTCCCATCTCTGCCCCCCGCCCCCCCACCACCATGGAGTAGGAATTGATGCAGGCCCTCCTTCCCATTTACTATTCCCCAGTAACCAAACTCTAAAAACACCATGGCCCGGGGTGGAGCAGGGGAGGGCTGGGCAGGTTGTGAAATGAGCCAGAACATGACAATAAAAAATGATCCTGTGTCCAGCAGGCGGGTTACACAGACACGATTGCTTACAGCTGGGGTGACCAGTCCAGGGGTTCCATTTCTCGGCTCCACCCAGCCACCGCCGCCGGGAGGGGACCAGGAACTCCACATCTGTAGCTCATTGCTTGCTTACATTTGTAACAGTCCCCATGATGCACTGAGAATGGATTTGGAGGGTGCTCAAACAAGAACGGTGGAACGTGGTTTCATTTGGGCTGAATTTAGTGCTCTTTGGTGCAGTTATATGCTGGCATGGACAGGCGAGGTTGTCTTCTCTCTTTCTGCAGTGAAAATAGCTTTCAAAACGATTCAAGGCACTGGTATTACTACAATACAAAAAGCGCAGCATCTGGAAATCAGATTTGACATCTGGTCCCAGGATACAGGCCACCTTAGACCCACAGCCTGGGGGAAGTAGCTATTCTTTTTGTTCTTTATTTCATTTTTTTTAATCCCCACCCAAGGATATTTTTTCCATTGATTTTTAGAGAGCGTGGAAGGGAGAGGGAGAGACAGAGAGAAACACTGATGTGAGAGAGACACATTGTTGGTTGCCTACTGCTTGCCCCCTGCCGGGACTGGGAGCCTGCAACCGAGGTACATGCCCTTGACCAGAATCGAACCCAGGACCCTTCAGTCCGTAGGGTGACGCTCTATCCACCGAGCCAAACCAGGTAGGGCTCTTTTGTTCTGTAAATAACAGCTTTATGGAGATATAACGCACATATCATAGAAGTCTCCATTTTAAAATGTGCAATTTAGTGGTTTCAGTAGATTCACAAGATTCCGCACCCATCCCCTCTCTCCAAGGCACTCTGCTTGAGCGCTTGATGGCACCCGGGAGGGTCAGCGTGACTTCGCAAGGACATGCACTGATCTTTGTGCCTTAATTCTAAGTTTGGACAATTAAAAAAACCAGAATGAATGAACAAATGTTCCAGTGGGAAGGGGGCCAGTCAGTTAGCTAGGTAGTTAGGGAGCAAGGCCCTACACATCTGCTTCACCATGTCTTCTCCGAAGGTATCATCATGATCTACCATCTGTCCTTGAGAGGGAAGCCAGAGTTCCGCTTCCTCTGTAAAGTCTACCTGGAGTTTTCTCTGGCCCCCCGTCAGGCACACTGGGGTGCTCAGTCCTTGCTACTGAGATGGTGATTGTTGTCGAGGGCCCGGACTTTTCCCTATGACGTGCATAGCTCTGGTTTATGACAAGACATAAACCTTTGTTGTAACCTCTGTTTCCCAGGGCATGCTTTTGTTCTGTGGAGATACATGAGACACTCAGAAATAACTGAGGGTGGGGGAGGAGACTTCAGATTTTTAAAGAACATTTGTATTGATTTCAGAGAGGAAGGGAGAGGGAGAGAGAGAGAGAGAAACATCCATGAA